GATTGATGATTTTCATAAACTATGGCATCGAGGTGCAGGTTCAAATATCCTATCTTATACACGTGTGTTAAGCCATTAACTAAAGAGTTAGTGACGGCTGAATGGCTGTTCTCATGGAAATTGCTTTCCCTCCAGCTTATGAGAAGGTTGTTGGGGTCGATATGGTCACAGACCTTTACTAAAGATCTGTGTTGTGCACTGTTTTGAAACGGGAAGCGGTGGTTTAATATTAGTTCACAACCACTGGAAAAAGAGTACTAGATGACTACGTTTTCACTATGTATAACTTGCGACTTCTAATGAATTTTTTGATGATGAGAAATACCTGTGACGCTGTAGCTGGTCAGATATCATGGAACGCAGGCCTGCTAAAATGTCCCCTTACGAAATTAAAAACTGTGGGGTCAATGCGTCATGAAATTTGGTCTTAGGGGGGGAGGGGTTGGTTCTTATCTGACACACCCCAGCTTGCAAACGTACTCTGACTTTTATGCTGCAGCATATGGGAAGTACCAACCCCTGGATCATCGTTCGTAGGGAGCACGAGGCAGTCCTAGCGAACAGAGTGATGAGAGATGCATCTGGCACCGCAGGGGTACTGTGGAGTCATAGGCAATTACGAGCAATTTGGCGGAAGAATACACTTGAAACGTGGTCTTGGAGGAATTGTGTATTATTTGAATTTTGGGATTACCTTTCGCATTGATTCTTAAGAAAAAAATTGCAGTGGAATGAGCATTTTTTATGCTGTCTACCATGAAGACCAAAAAAGACGACTTTTAATAGCGAATAGCATGTCCTGCAGAAAAACAAGAATCTTACATCTTCTGCGACACTGGGTTGGTCAAGGCTTATAATATTTGAGTTAATAGATTTGCCCGTGGTTTAATATTCAAACAATTATGACATTGTTCTTGCCATTGTAATAATGGATGTTCAAGTGTATAATAAAACCTCGAATGAGAAATGAAACAAAGAAACATGAGTGAGTATTTCTGATTAGATCACAAGAAATGATAGGAGGATTTGTAGCCATTGAAATATCGGCCTTATGCCCTCATGACGGGACCATTTTGGGCGTCTTTCTTTACGTGAAGTTAACGGGGAGGGCGATGATTCCATTTCCTTGTCATCAGCCAGGAGTTCTTTATTTTAAACGCAGAATCGACAGCAGCTGTGTGAACGGTATAGCGAGCAGAATCCAATTTTTTTGCCACAGGGGGGGACTCATTAATCAACTTCTGAAGAAATGAAGGAGAGGGACCCTTGCAGAGACTAGAACCGGAACCTCACGGTCCAACGCTTTACTGACTGAGCTACTGTAGTCTGAAGCAGTGCATGATAAATTCCATGCTCAGAGAATCTGTGTGTAAGACAAAGGCTGTATGTCTTCAGGAATCGAATTCGGCACCCTCCCAATTCGAAGACGACCTCTTACGCACCATATCATTCCGTCAGCCACTTACGAACCTATAATAAACAATGTGAACATCTGTTACTTGCACCTAACGTAATGGAAGTTTTAAACAAATGAATAGGTTTGAATTATTAAATGTCATAAATTAGAGGAGGAAGGCCTTGATGCGGAAATTGCTTTCAGCAGAAACTAAATAAATCACAGCACCATTGAGACAGACTGTCATTAGTGAGAATTATGTCAGTTAAAGAAATATGAATTATTGACTGATTCTTAAATTCGCTCTCTATGCAGAATAACAAGTCTTCAATTATGGGCATGCCTCATTTAGTTTTGCCACGTTAGGTATGGTGGCTTTCGCAAAGGTACAACGTGTCTTGAAACATTAGTATTCATTTTGGTAGGCATGGGGGTCGCTGCTTTCAATTTTCTTGAAATAAAACGAACTGCATAAAAAATTTGTTATGCATAGCAGACAACGGGAATAAAGGAATCAAGGGCTGCTTGACGTA